CAGGATGAGGCAGAGCCAACGGCGCAGCCGGCACCGCAGAGCCCGGATGGAGGGGAAGGAGCCGGCCGGCACCCTGGGAAGCCGCTCAGCCAGCCAGGAGATGGGCCTGGAGGAGGCCAGCCCCACGGAGGGGGCGCAGGATGGGGACCGGTGTGCGGACGTGGCCGCAGCAGAGGCACTGATTCAGGGGGAGCCGGAGGAGAGTGGGGAGCCCATCAGGTTGGTACCCGGGGAAGGCATCTTGCAGTTCCCACAGCTTCTTGTCCTCTCCCCGATCTCCTCACATCTCTTTTCTCCCACATCCCTTCTGCAGGACAAATGGGGTCCCTGCTGGCGATGCCGAGCTGGTCGGGACCGTTGAGGAGGGGAGCCCCCCACAAGCGGTACCTGAGCCCCCCCAGGGGAAGACGGACAGCCTGATGGAGCAGGACTGCAGCATAGTGAGCAAGCGCTGCTGGAGGCCAGCCGTACGGTCAGCCGGAGCGAGCCCGACCTCTCCTCCATCACCCCCAACACCGAGAAGGCCACGGAGAGCACCACCATCATGATCGATGTCCACGACTCCGCTGTGGTACAGAGTGAGGACCCGTCTCTCTTTCCTGAGCCCCTCTCCCAGCCCTCAGGGACCCTGCAGGGACGGAAAGCCGTTTGCACGGCTTTTCCTATCCCCATCCGTCAACTGGCGGGGGGGCTTTCCTTGCTGCTCCTTGCAGCACCTCCCTCCAGCACTCCAGTCTGGCAGGGGAGCCTGAATGCAATGCTGATCTACCACCTTGCCTTGGAGAGCTTCTCCCTTTCTCACCTCCATCCCACCCGCCCCTTCGCCTGATCCCTCCTTCCCCCTTCCTCTCCACCCAGGCAAAACACTCGCATCCCCTGTTTTTCCTAACACATCCGCAGCCTCCGCCCAGCTCGCTGCCGCCCAAACCCCTTAACAGCATCCTCGCTGTCAAGGTGAGCTGCTTTAAACGGTGTTATTAATTAAACAGCACCGTGAAAGCTGGCCTTGTTAAAACCCGTGTCGTCTGCTTCATCCCAGCAGCTCGTGTCTTTTCTTCCCTTCTGGTCCCTCTCCCGGTAATGGCACGGAGATGTAAAGCAGAAACTAGGGGGGGTTGCATTCCCCAGGGTGGCAGGGACACCCCAGGGTGCCGTCTGGGTGCAAGGCCGGGCAAAGGCTCTCGCTTTTCTGCAGTTAGCAACAAGACAGACGGCGAAGCCAGCCCCTTAAAGGAGGCTGAGACCAAAGAGGATGAAGAGGAGATGGAGAAGAAGAAGCGGAAGAAGGAGAAAAGTGAGACGGGCAAAGCGATGGTGCCGCACAGCTCCATGTTCATCTTCAGCACCACCAACCCGTAAGACATTTTTTGGACTGTAGGAGTCCGGGGCTGAGGAGGGCTGCAAGGGGAAGGACCCCTGGACACCACTGAAAGCAGGGGATCTTCTTGGGAAGGGGACTGAATAGTTGCCAAAGAGCCTGGCTAACCAGGCACGGCGTTCCCCAAGCCCTGGCAGCGCTCTCCTTCTGTGCCACCCATGCGCATGGTTTTCTCTCTCGACTCCTGATTGCTAGCTGTCATTTTTATTCACTGCTTGTTACATTTTTCTGCAGTTTTCTGCTCTCCCGTAGCTCTTACCCAGTTCCAGCAGCCTGGAAGAATAAGCACCCCAGTTTCTCAGGGCCTCTTCCTGGCTGGCTGTGGGGTGTCTGGGGGGTGGGACAGCCAAGCAAGGCGGTCAGCACACCCAAACCATCCTTGGGCTCCTTTGTGTTGCTCCTCAGACTTTGCTGCCCATCTTTCTGCCCTGGAAGCCGACGATGTGGGGTGGGTTTTGGACGTGGGCCATGCCTGGGGCATGCCAGGGGCTTACAGGCCAGGGTGCGGGCTGTCTCCCCGCAGGGTGCGAAGGGCTTGCCACTACATCGTGAACCTGCGCTACTTCGAGATGTGCATCCTCCTGGTGATCGCCGCCAGCAGCATCGCCCTCGCGGCGGAGGATCCCGTCCTCACCAACTCCGACCGTAACAAAGTGATTGAAAACTTCTGCCCCGCTCCCCCCATCCCAAAGGCAATGTAGGCAGAGGTCTTGTAGGATTTTAGCTTCCATGGTGGGGCACATGTGGGACATGGATCAGGGCAGCCAGTGTCAGAACCTGCACCGCAGCACGGGGTCGGACATTTTCCCCATCACCTTCCTTTATAAACCTTGGAAATTGCTCTCAGCCTCCCACACGTGGGGTTTAGAGCCTGGGGAGCAGACCAGGGCACCTTGTCAGCAGTAAAGTAGCTTAAACTGGGGAGATGTGGATGAGCACAGTCCCTGGTAGGGGGGAGGATGATTCCGGTTCGCAGCACGATTTCAGAGCTGCTTGCAGCATGCATGGGAAATGTTTCCCTCCTGCCTGCGCAGGCTGGGTTTACAGCTGTCCTGAACCCTTAGGGAACAGGTTGGGTTTGGGGCAAGGAAACCAACCCTTCATCTGCACCTGAGCCAGGTGAGCCCCGGTGAGGGGTGGTAATGGGGTCTGGGTGGGCACAAGTGAGCCCGTCTGCTTGGCAGTGGCTGCAGAGCACCCATGCCCTCTTTCTGCAGGTCCTGAGGTATTTTGATTATGTCTTCACCGGCGTCTTCACCTTCGAGATGGTTATCAAGGTGAGAGCCCTTGCAGGCTGGCTGCGCTGAGGGTGCCAAGTCCTGCAACATCCTTACAGGGGGTGGGAAATAGCTCAGGTGTTTGGTTCTGGTCCTAAATTTGGATGATGGAGACCTTAAAGCCAAGTCCTTAGCAGTGGGAGTCGAGAGTGCTCAGCACCGCTTTTATCAGCCTCCAGACTCCCACAAAATATGATGCTCTTTGATATATAACCAGGGCACAGGGATGGGTCTGCTGCTCCCCAGCAGTGTCCCTGTCCCCCAGCACATCCCACCTGTGGCCGCTTCCACTTGATAGCCGAGCTGCTCATTCCCTGCCTGTTTTGCTCACTGTTTCTCCCCTCCAGATGATTGATCAGGGCTTGATTCTGCAAGACGGCTCCTACTTCCGAGACCTCTGGAACATCTTGGATTTCATCGTGGTGGTGGGAGCACTGGTGGCTTTTGCCTTGGCGTAAGTGGCTGTTGTCCTTGTTGGCTCCCTGCCTTCCCTTGGCCAGGGTGGGAGGAGGATGCAACTATGGTCTATGGCTAATAGACCCTGGTTTTTTTCTTTTTATTTCTCTGCACCCTTCTGCTCTGCTTCTGGGATGGCTCCTGGCAGCGATGCGTGGCTGCTCCAGACATTTATTTCTCCTTGTTTGCCAAATGCTGGTGAGCAAGCAGGCAGGGGCAAGGCAAGGCAAGGCAAGCTGGAGGTAGTAGGAAGAGGTTGGTGGTGAAAGTGGACTTGAAAGAGGGCAGAAGGGGCTGTTAGAGAGGAAAAAATACCTAAGTGGCAGAGTTGGAGTTATACACTTGCTACGTATCCTGGGACGCGCAGAGACAGCAAAAGGTGGAGCTGCCCTCTGAACGTGTTTGTGCTGGAAATGGTACCCCCGGCCGGTGACTTTTTCTCTGTTCTGAGGGGGAACATTGCCCTAGAGGCCTGCAGGGATGAGGATGCAGCCGGTGGGGTTTGTGCTCGCATCCTCTGCAGCATCCTGGCGAGGGCAGGGTGCTGCGTGCTTGCTCTGCAGCATATCCCCACGGAGCGTTGCCTTGCGATTGGGCTCCGGTACTGAGCTTGTGGCACCTGCGAGTCCTCCTCTACAGAGTGGCTTGATGTCTGTGGTGCCTGTGCCATGGAGGGCAGGAGCATCCAGGGATGAGTTTCATGCCGCTCTGCCCTCCTCTGTGCTGCCAGTTGGGGCAGGTGGTTCAGGGTGAGCTCAGGGAGGGATGCACCAGTACCCAGAGAGTGGGTGCCAACGTGATGCTCACAGGTAAGGGGTACCCCCTGGTCCCCAGGGCCACGGTACCCTGTTGGGAGAGGAGAAGAGAGGAGAGGCTCACACTCCTTTGTCACGCTGTTGTTCTCTCTTTGTGCCTTTGACACTGGCGACGGTGGCGTTAGTGCTGGTGAGTGGCCTGGCAGCCACGCAGACTGGAGCCCCGTCCTTGTCCACAGCTCAGGTACCATGTGAGGCTCTCGGGGTGGTTGGGTCTGAGCCCTGAGGTCACTCGATGGATTACAGCCCGTAATCCATCCCTCCCATCTCACCTCAGGCTGGGTGGCAGCTCCTTCCCCTTGCTGTCACCCACTCGCACCCACCCTGGCTCGTTGCTTTTGCCTTCCTCACCCTCCTCACCCCCTTCCTCGCCTGTTGCTTTCAGCTGCTGCTCTCTCCTTGGGAAGAGCACAGGAGAATTCAGCTTGCTCAGCACACAGATGAAGTGGCCCCTGGGCAGGGCAGGGGCCTTACCACAGACCCCAGCATAGGGAAGGGGCATGGGTCAGGTCCGCTGGCTGGGGACTTTGCTCTGAGCCCCCTGGGAGGCGACTCAGGCCACTATGAGAATGGATCAAGCATCTCCGGGGTCTGACTGATCCCTCCTCTGCCAGGGCAGCACCTCAGAGCATGTCTGGGGTGGTGGCTGAAGGGCATCAGCAGCCTGAAGATGTGCTGGCTGGTTTGAGCGGCTTTAGGAGGACAAGGGAGCCTTCTCCTTCCAAGGCATCTTTCATCAAGACTTTTTGATGGCTGAAGGAACATAGGTTAATGGCTCAGCCTGCTCCTGGGTGGACAGGTATCCTCACCACTGCTTAACAGTACCGTAATCAGAGCTTACTGTCCCCTTGCCCCCACTCCACAAAGGTGGCATGGTTCCTGGGGTGGCCCCTGGAGCCGGGAGGGTCCCCATGTGCCAGCACTGAGCACATGGGGAGGCTGCTGTGCCCCTTCCGTCCCCGCTTGCCACCTGCCTACCTCCACCCAGCCTCCTGAGGGAAGGAGAGGTCCCTTTGGGCACGGGGCAGCTGAATTCTCGAGGCTGAGCCCCCCCCGTCGGCTGCAGCACCAAACCCCCTCCCACGGAGAAGGAAGGCCTTTGCATCTCCACATACGTTTGCAGCAAGCATTTATGTCGCCTGCTCACTCTTGTAGCTATAGCTGGGTAGATATCGAGTTGCTTGTGTCATGGATGAAGGCTCTTTATAATGTAAACCTGCAGGATTGTCCCTCTCTCCCGCATCCGATGGTGGCTCCTGCTGGAGGAGATGATCTCATGGCTTCGGGGGTGAGGGGAACAAAGGAACCGCGGTGATTTCTGATGGGTTTATACATTATGAAGCATTTGTAAGAACACCTGCCTTTCCCCTTGGCAGCCCATCACCACCGCAGCCCTGGGCCACAGCGTGTTTTCCAGCTACACACGTCCCAACCCATCGCCCTCTCTCCTGCCCTCCTGATCTCGAGAGGAAAGCTCTGATGGTGGCATTTGAAACCATCTCCTTTTCTTCTCCCTCCATGAGCTCTTTGATATGGGGCCAGGGGGAGACATGTCCTCCCTCTCCCACTCCTCACCTCCACGGCGCTGGGTGGGCAAAGTGATGCCCACGGAGCAGCTCTGGCAATTACGTAGCTGAGAGCAGCTGGTGACCAGGTCCAGCACTTCCCAGTAGAAGAGCTGGGACGTGCCATGCTGTTTGGGTTTTCTGCCCCTTTTGCCTCCCCTCTATGGTTTGGTTTTCCTGTGGGGGTCCTGGATAGCCATGGGCAGAACAGAAGGTCTCTGAGCTGGTCCAGAGGTGCCACCAGCACCTGCTGGCTGTTGGTGCCACATCAAAATCACCAATAAGCAAGTGACCACCCATAAAACCATCTCTTCTTGTGCCCTTGGGGCTTGTCCACTGCCCCCTCAGAACCCTTACATCCCAAGCGAGAGGCTGCCTCGGCACATCCGTAGCTCTCTACGTGGAAAGCTAATACGTCAATCCAAATGCAGCCTAAATAAAAAGCCCAATATAAAACCGTAAATCCCCAAAGAGTTCAAATTAAATTAGCTGAAATAACCAGAACCATAACTAAAGACCCTGCTTGCTTTGGCCTCCCGTGGCACCCGAGGAGGAGGCATGGCGCAGAGGAGCTTACAGCTTTGCAGAGCTGCCGAGAGGCGGTGATGCCTACGCCTGCGGCAGTGGGAAAGGCTGGGTGATGGAAAGGGTGGTGGAAAGGTTGAGCAGTCAGTGCGTAGCCTTCGTCGTCTTACCTGGTGAGCAAGGGCAGGCGTTTCTCCACCAGAGGTACCCAGCGGAGGTGCCTCTTTCTTTGCCGAGCAACATCTCCTTGTGCCTGTCGGCACCGGCATCTGGAAGCAAAAGGGACTCTTAGGTACTGCAAAATCATCTGGTGCGAGGCTGGTCAGGACAGAGGTCTGCTATCCCATCACAGAAGTGCTGCAGAATTAAACTATCACTTTTCCAACACACCTTCCACCTGTTTCGCTAACATGCAGCCAGGGTCTGGGGTTATTTTTATGGTTCTTAAGCAATGTTTTACTTCACAGGCTTTGCCCCCAGTGCTGAGCACTCTGCGTGCACATGGCAGGGACTCAGCTCAAGCAGGGATGGAGGTTTGGTTACAACTGAGGGACCTTGTGGACCACCTTGACGTGTCCAAGCGGGTGTCCTGTTGGGTTGCAGGAGATCCCACGCTGCAGCTCAGGCTCTTAGTCAGTGGATTTCTTGATGGGGGCGATTTAGCAGAGTAAGCCTGTTTGGATGGGAACTATTGTGGCCTTGCAGGTAGGTTCACTCGGAGGCACCTGCATTTGGCTGGTTGGGGCTGAGCCTCGAGATCCCTCCCCAACTTCTGGCCAAGGAGGGCCGCGCACCCACCTGCTGTTCCCCACCATCTCACGCTCTGCAGATTCCTCTTGCAGCAGAGGTTTCACTATGTTTCCCCCTCCCAAAAACTCCAGCAGGGAGGGCAGGGGCTCCTGGCTCCCTGGATGAGTCCCTCCCTGGAGATAAGCTCCATCCTGGAGGACACAACATGGTCTACTCATCGTGCCTTTCAACCTAGGTGTGGGGCAGCGGAGGGTTGCTTTTCTTACCTTCTTTTTCTTACCTGATGCTTTTCTTACCTTCTTCCTCTCTTCTCTCTTTTTTTTTCTCTCTCTATTGGTGCTGTTTGGTGGCTGCTGGGCTGGATCGCCGACAGGAATGCTTTGGGGTAACTATGCTGGTCGAGTCACCGTGGGGTGCTGCCCTGGGGAGCGTGGAGGGATGGGTGCAGGCGGGTGTCTGTCTGTCCGACACACGTGCTGACCCTTAAGAGCATTTGCAGAGACTGGAGTGCGCTGCTCTGCGTGCCCCCCTGTGTTTCCACAGGATGTATTAAAGGTGATGTGCTCCGGGAAAGTGCAGGCGGGATTTTTTTTACAAGCAATGCAGTTCCTTGCCTTTGGAGGAGAGTGCTTTCGTTGCAGATTTCAGTGTCCCTGCAGTACCCAGACACGGTGTGAAGCACATCCAGGGCAGCAGGACATGGGGAAAGCGATATCTGCCACAGAGCTGAAGGCTCTGCCCCGGCAGGGGCTTTGCCTGCACTGAAGTGCCCCATGGGGACTTCAGCCCTGATGTCCTCCGAGGACATGCGATGTGGTTCATGCCAAGCTCAGGGGGCTGAGGAGAGCTCAGCCTCGGCCATAGAATCATAGAATCATTATGGTTGGAAGAGACCTCAAAGATCATCAAGTCCAACCGTAGACACAGGAAGACCCAGTTTTCCTCTAGGTGTTACCCAGCCCTGTATCCCATATCCCTCTTGGATCCCAAGCAAATCCACAGGAGGTTTCCTGAGATCTGAAGAGGTCCCTCCTCAGCCGATGTAAACCACTGCAGTTGTTGTCCTCGGTGGCAGCTTGCCCCAGCTGAGCACTGCCCTCAAATCCTCACCCCAGCCGCGAGCTGGATGCCCCAGCCACGTCCCCAGGCCCTGATAGTGAGAAAAACAGGAGACGGGAGGTGCAAAGTGAGTCCCAGGGCTGCTTGTACAGTTGCTGCCCATGCATTTGTGGGGCTGTGCTCCTAGGAAGCACTATTAATCAGTGGTTTTGTTTACATCTTTTCATGATTAAGCCCATTACTGTGCTCCCTGTTGCATTCACCCTCACAAAGGAGCTGTGTAATTTGGAGCATCTGGTGTTGCAAGTTATTTCCTTGACGTTTTTTGAGGATGCCTGGTGGATCCGAACTGTGCCACCTTCACTAGGACCTCTCTGCTCCATCCTGGGTTCAAGCCCATGGGCTTAAGTTAAAAGACAAGAAACAAAAAAACCCTGACAATGTGCTTGGGATTAATCATCATATTCAAGAAATGAGGGTCACGAGGGGGCTTGTCTAAATAATTCTACTGGTAAGCTCTGCCTCCCTCAGCTAACTTGGGGTGGAGGCAAGTGCAGCCCTGATCTGGAGAGGGACGCGAGGGCTGAGACGTTACATGCATGAGAGAGGGGACCAGGCTGACCACGTTGGGTAGCGCTGATGGAATAAGGCAGAAAGCTGTAAGAGACAGCATTTGTGTGAACAAACCAAGCACAGAGCAGGTGCTTCCCTAGGTGAATGTAAGGACCATGAATCTCCAGTTTAAACCAGGACGGAGAACCCTTTGTGAGACACCTGCATGTAGACCCCATGGAGTGCATCTCCCTCATTTTGTTATGAATTTCTTGTAACCAGTAGTAACGATAGAAAACGATTTGCAATGGTCGGGGCTTTTTGCAAACCTCATCTGCAAATGGCACACGCCTGTAGTAGAGAAGCAAACCTCCTGGCCCTGTGGAGTGGCATGGCTTGGGGACGTGGGGAGGGCAGCTGCCCTTCCTCAGGGAGAGCATTGCATCGCCTGCCCCAGCCCTGGCATCGTACTGCTTCCCATAACAAGGGGATTCGTTAAGGTCATTGCTCCCCAGCGAAGGGGAAAGTTGCTAATCCCGAGGAGGAGAGAATTGTTTTATTTTTTCTCTCTGCCAGCTGTCAGCGCGTGTGTTGGAGGAGACTCATTTAGGTGGGCTGAGAGCTCAACAGTCACACGTTTGTGGCCCTCCTGTTCCCATCCTCATGCATGCTGGGGTGGGGGAAGTGTCAGCAGTTGAAAACCCCAGAGCATCCAACCTTAGGTCTGCAAGGTTATTGTCTCTCTCTTTCATTTTTGGGTGCGTGTGCCTCTCTCCGACGTGGTAGGACCAACAAAGGCCGGGATATCAAGACCATCAAGTCTCTCCGTGTGCTACGGGTCTTGAGGCCCCTGAAAACCATCAAGCGACTGCCCAAGTTGAAGGTAATGATCCCCATCTCCTGCCTTACGTCTGTCTTCTCCAGCGTGGACTGGTGGGTGCAGGGACCATGCACATTGATTTGCATGGTGATGAACAAGTAGCTTTCAAATCATTTACTGTGTTTTAGAAGCCCTGTTTTCAAACGCGACGCCCTTCAGGCTGCTTTACATCTGGAGGTGCAATGAGTTGTTAAAAGAAAGCCTGGATCTCTCCAAGGTGTTGGAGTTATGTGCCAGGGAAAGTGGGGCCGGAGTGGACACAAGGCAGCATAGCCGAGATGCTCTCCTGACCAAACAGGCTGCCCCAGCTTTGGGAGAGCTCAGATCTCTTCTCAAAGTTCATGATCTTTCCCACCAGAGGAGCTTGCAAACAACTGGGTCTTTGGGTGCTGTGCTGTCATGGTGTTGCACCAAAGGGGCATTTCCCATCTCAGTAGAGGGATTATTTGTGTAGTGCAGGTCGGATTATGGGTTTCCCTACCTTAGCTGGTGAGGTGTAGAGCCAGAAAGGAGTAAGAGACCAAGGAAGCCCTGTGTTTTTTCTTACAAGGGGTTATTTGACTGATGGATGAGACCCAGGGTAGCACCCCAGAGACATGGGTTTTGACCCCAGCTTTTCTTCCCGATCAGTGGATGGATTCAGCCCATGTCAGTTCATTTCTGGACACCTCTGTCTCCACCATGAAGCAGGGACAAGGACATTTCTCTCTTTCTGAAAGTGCTGTGAGAACTAGGGCTGAGAGCGCAGCCTGGGGAGGTGCTGCTATTGCAGGCGGAGGTATTTGCTCTGCCTTGTTATTCGAGGTGATGTGAAACAATGTAGGGTTTACTAATTGGTCTTGAGCGCTGCTAATTGCATCATTGGGGCGGTCCTCTGTCTGCTACTCTGGTTGCAGAGAACATTGAGGATATAAATATCCATCCCTGCTGCTGTCTCAGGGGCTGCTCGGTGTCTATGTGTGTACTGGAGGTACTCTGGGTGTTAAACTTGTTCATAAAATAGCTCTTTGCCTGGGAGAAGGTCCAGCTCTTTCCTCCTTTCCCCACCAGGAGTGGGAAATGTCTTTCCACACGGTAGTCTGGGTTTGGTCCTGCCCTTTGCCAAGACTGTGGGTTCCCCAAGGTGAGCTATGCCCTCTCCTGCAGGCCGTCTTCGACTGTGTTGTGACTTCCCTCAAGAACGTCTTCAACATCCTCATTGTCTACAAGCTCTTCATGTTCATCTTTGCTGTCATTGCCGTCCAGCTCTTCAAGGGGAAGTTTTTCTACTGCACTGACAGCTCGAAGGACACGGAGAAGGACTGCATGTAGGTGCCCTGTTCAGTAGGTCCAATGCTGCTGACACCTCTGGCAAAGGCAGGGTGCTGGGTAATGTCTTCTATGGTTCCCGGTTAAGTCCTTGGTCATGACTTGCTCTTGGCCATAGTCTCTTGGGGTGGATGGCATGGGCTGAGCCCTGTCCCCATTGCTGTGTCAGTGCTGTGCATCCTTGCATGGGATGCGGGATGCAGAGCCTTATATTTTGCTCGTGTTCTCTTTCCTCCTCCTCTTTTCCCTTTTGCTTTCCCTTTCTCTGCTTCTCCCCAGTTGTTATCCAGCCTCTCCCCATTTCTCCCTCCAGCCTTGCAGGAGGAGAGGTGCCCCCACAACCGCACACACACACTGCCCCAAGGGTGTAAAGCCACCGTCTCATAGTCTGGCAGCGTAAAAAGCAAGGTCACTGCTCTCTCCCAACCTTGCAGAGGCAACTATGTGGACCATGAGAAGAACAAGATGGAGGTGAAGTGCCGGGAATGGAAACGCCATGAATTTCACTACGACAATATCATCTGGGCTTTGCTCACCCTGTTCACAGTCTCCACTGGCGAGGGGTGGCCCCAGTGAGTATTCTGCTCCATCTGCCCCCTTGAATGGGGGTGATCGCAGCCCCGTTGGGGTGCTTGGGTTAATAACTGGCTACACCCAGGGGGGATTGAGAGAGGAACTGCTGGGCAGGGAGGAGGAGAGGAAGGATGAGAAATGATGTCAGGACAGGAGAGCTTTTAGTCCCGATATGAGGCCGGGACCGTGGTTGGGGTTAGCTTCTTCCTTCAGGGAGTGAAAAGTGGATAATCCCTTCTCCTATGTGGCCCTGAGCTGTATTTTAGGTCAATTTTAGGGATGAGCATAGGACTAGACCTCTCTCTGTGCTTGTGTGATCTTGGGCATTTTTTTTCCTCTGTGTGTAGCACACAGGAAAATCCATTTTCCATCAGGGTCACAGGCAAAGCACTGTAAAACAAGCTGTAGCCGCTTTAGAAGGGTTGTCCGTGTAAAGCAGATTAAGACAGAGCTTTATCTTGTGCGTGTCGGAAGTGTGGACAGACAGAGCTGGCTGTACAAAGTGGGTCCCCTGAGAAGTGTCTCACGGTGGCAGTCCTGATGGGCATATATCTGGTTGCTTTTCTTCACCTGTCTGCCCACAGGGTGCTGCAGCATTCGGTGGATGTGACGGAGGAGGACCGTGGGCCCAGCCGCAGCAATCGCATGGAGATGTCCATTTTTTATGTCGTCTATTTTGTGGTCTTCCCTTTCTTCTTCGTCAACATTTTCGTGGCTCTCATCATCATTACCTTCCAAGAGCAAGGAGACAAAATGATGGAGGAGTGCAGTCTGGAGAAGAACGAGGTACGGTCTGGGGAGGGGGAAAGAGGACGTCTCCATGGGTTCTTTGCAGTTTGGGAGCTTGGAGCTCCCTAGATGTTGAAGAGGTGTAAGAAACCTACCTGCCTGCCTGGCCCATGAAGGAAAGAAGTGTGGCAGCCGCCGTCCCCGACATCACCATCGGCCAGGGTCTGATGCACATTGTTTTATTCCAGAGGGCCTGTATTGATTTTGCCATCAGCGCCAAGCCCCTCACGCGGTACATGCCCCAGAACCGGCACACCTTCCAGTACCGCGTCTGGCACTTTGTGGTCTCCCCATCCTTTGAGTACACCATCATGGCCATGATAGCGTTGAACACCGTGGTGCTGATGATGAAGGTGAGCCTGTCCTGTTTGGGGCAGTGGGGAGAAGGAGAATCAGTCAGGATCGGACTGGAGGTTATTTTGGTTGTTTCTAGGAGATGCTTTGAGATAAAGTCTGAGCATGTATTCCCTTGGCATAGTCACTTGAAACACAGAAGGAGAGATCTTCCCTAAATGAGATGACCCAAATGATCTAGACTTCTTAACTACTGCAGAAAGATCTGGATTTACTCTGTGCTTCCTTCTTAGAAGGAGTGGCAGCTGTCATGGGAGGGGGTTGGAGAGGGGAAGGAGGAGATGGTCTTGAGGCACCCAGGGCCAGGAACATGGACCATCACAGGTCTTCGCTGGGGCAGCCATCAGCCAAGAAGCTGGCAGGCCGCCTCCCTCCTGGCTAGCAATGTTTCTCTCCTTTCCATCAGTACTACTCTGCTCCATACACCTATGAGCTGGCCCTGAAGTACCTGAACATTGCGTTCACCATGGTGTTCTCCTTGGAGTGTGTCCTCAAGATCATCGCTTTCGGCTTCCTGGTGAGTGGCTGCTCCTGTTCTTGACGAAGGTGTTAATTTGGATGTTGGCAGCACACAGATCACAGAAGGAAGGTGTTAATAATGTGAAGTTGTTGCTAATTTATTTTGGGTCCCTGTTTTAGAGCTGCTTTTAGGTTGGAATTGCTCTTTTTGTTCTCGTTAAACTTCCTACTGCTGGATGCTGGTGGGGGAAGCCACACTGTTACTTTGTTTTTTGCCTCATTTCTGCGGTACTTTGGTGCCTGGACCGTGTATGTGCTGTGCAGCCGTTCTGCTAAAGCCGACTGCTGCTGCGATCGTGCTGGTGGCTGCAGTCCCATGTCCCCAGGAACCACAAGATGATGATACGTTGCTGCTGTATCAGTTGGACCAGACCTGACCAGCAGTGAGACCTCCCTCTCTAGTTCCCAGTCCTCAAGTCTCCAGCTGCTCATTTAAGATTTGCATCGTAGAATCATAGGATGGTTTGGGTTGGAAAGGACCTTTGAAGGTCACCTAGTCCAACCTCCCTGCAATGAGCAGGGACATCTGCAACTAGATCAGGTTGCTCAGAGCCCCGTCCAACCTGACCTTGAATGTTTCCAGGGATGGGGCATTTGAAGCCACAGACTGCCTCTTCTTCAGCTACTCTTTGCTGCTTATGAGCAAGTGTTGGATTTGCTCTTTCATAGCTTCTTTCCTGTTTCTAACCCATACTGGGAGATGAGATCTGCTATCAGGAGGATTTCTAGCCACCCTCCCTGCTCCCAGTGGCTCCAGCCATGGTCAAGTCTGGTCGCACCAGCTGCTGCACAAACAGCAGGGCCGAGGTGGGTCCGGGTACCCACGAAGAGGAGGGCAAAGCAGCCTTGTGGCTGTGAGGGTCGGTCTGATGAGCCTGACCAGGGCTGGCGGTGGCTGTTTTTCCCACTCCCATTCACCAGGGTGGCCTTTGGATGGGTGAGTCATCTCCCAGGAGAAGCTGCTCGCTGCAGACACGCTCAAGTCTGTACCATCTCAGCTGCAGGACGATGGTCCAGACTGCGGCTGCATACAAATAGGTGGCAAGGTCTCTGCTGCCACCACCGTTGTCCATGAGCAGCCTTGGCCCGTGGCCCAGCACCCTTCAGACTTGGCAGCCCCGAGCTCAAATCCATGTTCCCTCTCTTTCCTTTTGCAGAATTATTTCCGGGACACCTGGAACATCTTTGACTTCATCACCGTCATCGGCAGCATTACGGAGATCATTCTGACGGACACCAAGGTGAAGCAGGGGCTGGGAGCAGTGGGGTGTTCTGCTGCGGGGTTGGGGGGCTCCTGCCTCCCTCTGACCCTCTCATCTCCTCCCAGCTGGTCAACACCAGCAGCTTCAACATGAGCTTCCTGAAGCTTTTCCGGGCTGCTCGGCTCATCAAGCTGTTGCGCCAGGGTTACACCATCCGCATCCTGCTCTGGACTTTTGTGCAGTCCTTCAAGGTAAGTCACGAGTGCCCTGGTCTCCTCCCAGGCCGTGGTGCTGGGCTGCTGCTCCCAAATGCAGGCTGTTCCCAAGGTCTTGTTGGCTTGTAGGAGAGATGGATCGGCACAGCTTACCTGCTCGCTGTGCTTTTTATCCTCCTCTGGACTTGGACCTGTGCTGAATGAGATGACTCATCTGCTTCTCTTGCAGGCCCTTCCCTACGTCTGCCTCTTGATCGCCATGCTTTTCTTCATCTACGCGATCATTGGGATGCAGGTGAGCACAGCCATCTCAGTGTGCATCCCTCTGGCGCAGACAGGCTGGACCAGCATGTCCTCAGCATTATGCACATCAGCCAGCCTCGTGCCTGCCTGTCATTGCTTCACTCCGTCACGGTGTCTGGGAAGGTCCCGAGGGTAGAACAGCTTGTTTGGGAACTGCAGAGCCACATGCCCTGCGGGACCTGCCACGGGCTTGTTCAGTCAAGCTCCACAGCTGCCTTCCCAGCTTGTACCCTTGGAGATGTGGCCTTGGGGACTCAGCTGGGCATCCTGTGTGGCGGCTGCTTTCAAACTGCCACCCCTTCATTTAGAAATTACACCCTATCTCCAAATCCCTAGCAGCCCTTAGAGATTGATTTTATGCCTAAGCGACCTCGTGAGCAGCCTTCTGCCTTTCCCATCCAAATGGCTGGATCACGGCAGTTATCCCTGCAGCCCACCGTCCACCTTGTCCCTCTGCAGAGGGTTTATATTGTAGCCACGCTGCTGACGGTCTGCTTGGGCTCTCGTGCTTATGGACCTGCGATGACCTACCAGATGATGGGAGGTCTGCAGAGCATGGGAAGACGTGAGTTTTCCAGGCTCCAGCTGGTAAATAAGAAGCACGTGAGCTAAAACCCTCAGCTCCACACGTGCTGCAGGGCTGGCTCGGATCTGCGATGACTAAATCCCACGCTGAAGATCTGACAAAGCATATTCGACGACGAACACTCGGGATCTGAAGCTGCCCGATGAGCGAGCTGCTGCAGTACCCAATGCCGTTGCCTGACGTGCGCTGCCAGAACAGGCAGATTTTGGGGAGGCAGCGGGCAGCGCAGTGGTCTCCTGCTCGGGCTGCTTGGCAGTGCTGGTGTTTAGTCTCTTCCACCTCCTCTCTCCCACCCCAAGAGTCCCGTGGCTGGTTTTGGCCACGCTGGTTTGTGTCCTACGCATCTCGGCACCGGCTCCAGGTGTTCTCTGCGCTAAACAACCGCCATCTGATTCAGCCCTCCTCCCTGCCGTGTTGGTAGTATTTGATTTATTTTATATTTTTTTTTAACACCATTGTGAACAAATCCCCAAGCAGTAAAATCTGTGGGCGTTATTTGAGCAAAATAGCTGGAGGCAGAAAATATTCTACAATTACACATTCCAAAAAACCTGTACAGGGAAAAAAATACTCTGCAGTTAGTGTATTTTTAGGTTCACGGAAAGTGGAATAAATATTTAACAGTAATAACAGCACATTTTTCTATTTGAGGCACTTTAGGAACATTCGTTATGTCTTACCACGGCCTTGGCTGTGCGACATTATTAGGATATTGTCCACATTTGGGGCTTCATTGCCTCTTTTGTCCCTGGGGACAGTATCCCAGGTGTCTGGCTGTCCATGGTGGGTTAACGGTCGGTCTGTCCCTCCCTCACTGAGCCCTTCTCCACCCTGTTTGCACCGCTGTGCCTGATTCTGGCATCACGGGCCGTTTCCCCATCAAAGGAAAAGCTCCCGGGAGTTTCCAGGACCATGACCCAGCACCCACCCAGGGTGGTGTGACTTGTCCCTGTGCCTCCAGCATGCTCGGCACCACCCGTAGCGCAGCCAAGGGATGGATGTGGAGCGGTTGGACTCGGTTGATCCCAGGTCCTCTGTGCTCCTGTTTCCATGGCAGCTCAGCCTCTCGCAGCCTTTGCAGCCCACTGCAAATCCCTGCCGAGGAGAGGAGAGTTTCCTTCCCCTTGGCTGCTCAGCACCAGCTCCTCGGCGTGCTGGCTGTGCACTGGGATGCTTTTCCATGGGGAATTGAGTAGAGAGGGTGGATGTCAGCTGCTTTGCGGGCTGGCTGCGCCGAGGGTGATGGATGTGGGCCGGGATCGGTCCCTTCGGCACAGGGATGCGTGCCCGTGAACCAAGGTGAAGGTGCAGCCATTTCCCCGGCCACCGAGTTGTTGCCTGAATAACTGAGCCCTTTTTTGTCCCTTCCATAGGTTTTTGGCAATATCAAACTAGATGAGGAAAGCCACATTAACCGGCACAACAACTTCCGCAGCTTCCTGGGCTCCCTCATGCTCCTTTTCAGGTAAGCAATCACAGAAAACTCCTTTGGCAGTATTTTTGGGTGCAGGCGTTCCAGGAGCCGGGCTGAGCAGGTTCTCACCAGAGGCTGTTTGGTGGAGGTCAGCTTTTGGTGCTGGAGACCAGCTGGGAAAGCACAGGGCAGCAGGAGCTCACGGACCGCTCTTTTTTTATCTGCCCCAAAAAGGATGTTAGTCTCCCAGCTTTATGGACCAGCTGGCTGGGGGGATTTAGCCCCATGTGCCAGGAGCTACACCCTGGCATGGCTGCACTCGTCGGGGTCCGGCTCGGTCGCTGCTGACCCAGTGCCTTGCTCCTCTGCACACTGGAGATGTGTTTAACATGGGCAGGGGGTTGCACAGCTTCTTGTGAGGTTTCTCCTGGGGCTGTCCTGCCCCGGCTCCATCCCATGCCACCACAAGCTGCTGAGCGTGGCTTGTGTTGTGTGCAGGAGTGCCACGGGAGAGGCATGGCAGGAGATCATGCTGTCCTGCCTGGAGGGCAATCAAAGGCTGCGAACCGGACACGACAGCGACGTCCGGGCAGAATGAGAATGAGCGTTGCGGCACTGACCTGGCCTACGTTTACTTCGTCTCCTTCATCTTCTTCTGCTCTTTCCTGGTGAGTTCCTCTTCTCTGAGAGCCCCGGGGATCCCTCTCATCAGCCCCAAAACCTGCACCCCTGCCATAGGGTCATCAGTCATCTTCCATCTTCCCATGATTACCCTTCCTTCTCTCTCTCCTTTCCTTTCGCTGCTCCCTCTCCTTCCACTTTCCTTTCTCTCTGCCTTTTTCCCTTTCACTTAGATGCTCAACCTATTCGTGGCAGTCATCATGGACAATTTTGAATACCTGACTCGGGATTCCTCCATCCTGGGACCTCACCATCTAGATGAGTTTGTCCGGATCTGGGCAGAGTATGACAGAGCAGCGTGGTATGTAGCCAGCTCCTTCTCTCCCGAGCAATCTCTCAGAGCTGGTTTTAAATGGGCGCCTCTGTGTTCTACTACTGGAAACCAGCTGCGATGCCTGGGATGGTCAGGGAAGGGCTACTCACGCCCGCCATCGTTACAAGGGCAGCAGCCGGTTCCTACATTGCCTGGTGGCATGGGGGTCTTGGGTGATGTTGACGTTTTGCCGTGCTATTTATCCTGAGCGCTGGAGATTCCTGCTCTTCTTCTCCCCGGCCAGCGGGCAGGTCCCTCTCAGCCTTCTTCCCTGTCCCTGTGCACCAACTGGGTGCCTCTGCCCTGAGACTGGCTCCATCGCCGGGTCCCCAGCGCACACAGCTCCCCGTCAGAGCAGAGCTGCGCATGGCTTGTTCGCAGCCATGGGGAGATGTTGGGGTCTAGTGGGCTCCTGCCAAGTCACCTACAGAAGACCCTGTTTGGAGTGTGTTTGGCTTTGGGGAATTGTGTTCTTACGCTGGCCAACCCACTCACCCCTCTAGAGATGGGAGGACTTTGTTTCCTGTGCTCATGCCTTTGCCGATGAGGACCCCAGCGAAGAGGGCTCCCCTTTGCAGGCAGCAGCCTGTTCCCGGCGACGGGGCGGGTTCACAGAGGCCGTACATACCGTAGGTGGCCAGGCTTTGGCTCTGCTCCTGCTTCTACCGCTGTAGAGGACTTGCCCTCCACTGCTCCTCCCAGGATGGTCTGGAGCATCCCTAGGATGGAGCCTTTGGCAGCTCTGGGAGCATGTTTGCCCTCCACTCAGCTCCAGCGCCACGAGGGTGCCTTGTGTGGCCCCTTCCTCCCTCCCGCAGCCCGGGGACAGCCTCTTTGGAGCCACGACCCATGACTGCTGTGCCAGGGAACGTGGGCCATCTTAGCTTGAGAGCCCTTGGCGGCCACACACGCTCCCTTTGGAGACTCTTTGCCTCCACTGCTAATGTCCTGTCCCTCAAGAGACCAGCTCCAGCCAAGATATTCTTTTTTTTTTATGCCTAATATCATCAGCTCCTGGCGTAGTTTCCCCCACTGTTTTTGTCCAACCCTGCGCAGCTCAGTGCTGGCCAGGTTCCTCCCTGCATGGCCTCCTCCAGCACTCTTGCTGCTCTGCAAGACCCTCGTGGGCAGGTGGGTTTGCTTGTTAGCGGGTGAATACACCTTGTGGGAGGGAGAGAGGTCAGCATGGGTGAGTAGATGTCCTGATGGACAGCTAGAGAAGGGGGAGATGGTAAGAGGAGTGAAACACCCAGCTGTTCAGTGTGGGGCCTCTCACCCATGGCTTTTGGGAAGGATTTCTTCACACCAGGCACTTCATTCACTCTCACCCCCCGTGTTGGTGGCCTGGGTCTCTAGGGCAGTCACTGTAAAAGCTTGCCTGAGCTGTCCTGTTGATGCCATGCACCCCTCTGATTGCTGAGCAAGCCGTGCTCTTTCATCGTGACATGTAGCCAATGGTTAGGGGACGTGCACAGGAGTTGGTGGTGCTGGGTCCGTGGGGGCACCCCTGGCCCCTGTTGCTGAGTGAGGAACGGGTGAGTACATCCAAACGGGTCCCACCACCCGAGTGGGGCAGCAGTTCTGCATCCTGACACCGGGACCATCACATGAAGGTCTAGTGGGGAGACTGCCCAACACCAGGGGTGCTCAGAGATGGGTTTTGCCCAGACGGTTGGGTTAGCTCTGGCCAGCGATTGAGAGGGGATGGCAGAAGAGCAAGGAGAAACCAGAGGCAAAGGTGCTGGGTAGGACGGTAGCGCTGCTCTTTGCCTCCTTGCGTGGTTTCCCTCCAAGCTTGTCTAAGGATGCCCAGGAGGCTGCAGCACGCTGCACCTCAGCACTTCCACCCCACACGGTCCTGCTTCCCAAAGGGCTCTGGTCTGGAGCGGAGTGGGGAGCTCAGCATCCGATGGCCCCTGCACCCTCGCCTGCCAGTTCTCTGCCTCAACTGCTTCGTTATTTCAGCCGGTGCAGGAAGGATACGGGCCGTATCCTGCGATGCCTGCACCCGGATCTGGGAAGATGTGCTTCGGTGGGCAAGAAGGGGGGTGTGTGTATGGGAGGGTTTGCTTCTAATAATGTGTACCCTTGGCAGAGTGTGGTCTGGTGGTCGGAGCACAGGACTGGAGCGCGAGAGACCCAAGTGCTAGTGCCACAGCCACCGGTCACCCGCTGGTCACATTATCTCTCCCCTTCTCAGGTTCCCCAGACACTGGAGATACAAGTGACTCAGCTGCCAACCTCCCTGGGACCTTGTGAGGACCAGAGATTTAGCCATGCCAGGGCAGGCTTTCTGGTGGTGTGATGGCACACAACTCCATCAAAAGGGCTCGTGGTGGCTAGAACCCAACCAAGCTGCAGGCTCACCCCATCTAAAATCCCAGCCCTCTCTCACCAGGCATAGGCAGCCAGGGGCAAGATGAGGAAGGGTGATGGGGTGGTGTTCACCACCAAAACTGTCCTTCTCCGGGGTCAAGATGGGTCAATGTGAGGAGGTATGAGCTGACTCATGGTGGGAGAAGGCAGTAGCTAATGCTCACCGCTTTCCCCTCTCTGGGTCTGACAGAGCCAGAAGGAGAAGAGCCGTGCACCCCCGGGGGGTCTTGCCCCACAGATGGCCCCAGCATCCCCCGATAAGCTCTCCATCCTCCCCTCTACCCTCTCAGTGTCCTATTAACCCACCTGTGCTTCCTTTGCAGCGGCAGGATCTCGTATAAGGATATGTACAAATTAGTACGGGTGATCTCGCCTCCTCTGGGCCTAGGAGAGAACTGCCCCTACAGGGTGGCGTGCAAGGTTTGCCTCCCAGTCCTCCGCCACAACCTGGCCACGGGACGCACCATCCACCCCTCCTTCCCCCCACCGCGCTCCACCGCCACCGCACCTCCCGAGGGAACCCTGACGTTGCTTTCCTTCGAGTTTAAAGAGGTCCGCGGCCTCCCAGAGCCAGCAGCTGTCCCCCTCGAGGGGAGGCATGAGTGGGGCCAGGGGGGGCTCAGAGCCTCTTGGGGGTGGGTTTCGACAAATTGCGTCCCCCAACCAGCCCCTTGCCCCAGCTCCATCGGCGTAGAGAGCCCCTGAAGGGTGCCAGGCCATATGCTACCATCCCTGCTTGGCTTCTCAAAGTGCCCTCATGTGGGAACAGGAGTTTTTTGGGGGGCTTAAATGTGATTTGCTCCTGGGGAGGGAAGAGGGGAGCAAAGGCCAGGAGGATGTTGGGGACTTTGCCGTTGTATTGGAGAGTGAGGACTGGGAGGCCAGGGTGGCCCTTCTCCCTGGGGCACACCGTGCTGTACCCAACAGACTCTTCCTCAAGTGTGGGCACTTGGAGGACACTCGACCACATCTCTGGGGAGCAGGAATCTTGCCAGCCTTGCTCTTAGCTTGCCGGACCTGGGCACATCTCTGGAACTCAACAGCTCCTCTCCCTCCGTTTGAGCCAAGCTCCCTGCTGCTAGCCATGAGTCCGTGGCACTGATTTGGCCTCCTTGTAGCTCTCTGACTTGCACGGGTGTTTTTAATTTTATTTTGGGGTGACAGTTGAGCAAAATCCTGCACCTGCCGCCTTCTCTGAAGTGCCACGCATGTGTGTCCGTGGCATGAAAGGATGAACCGCAGAGCTTGCTCTTCCCTCTGCATCCCTCACGGCATCTGACAAGATGTACGAGGGAAGTTCAGACGCTCCCGGCCCTTGATCTTAGCTCTGCAGAGGAAGGGGGTTCCTTGGTGTGGTGTGGCGTAGCCACCACATCCTTCTCACCACACCAAAAATGCTTCTTCCAGCCAGCATCCCTGGAACGCGTCTGTCACCCTCCACAGCTGGTCGTGGGGATGATGCACACGTTTGAAATCTTGAAGTAGACCACCAGAAGTAAAGCAGAGCAAGCAAGGCAAGGCCTGGATGCTCAGTCATCTCATTTACAAAAAGGTATTTAGGGACAGGAGATGTCTTGCAAGAATCTCAGACGGCTCATCTGTTCAAGGAGGGGCTCCTTACAAGTCATTCCACCCTTCTCTGTTGCATCCCCAGCAAGGGATGGTGGCTTTGCAGAGGACACTTCCTCGGGTCCCTGCAGACAGAAGACACCTTCAGGAGGAATTGATGGTCTTTCTCGATGGACATCAGGGCTTCACTGGCAAATGCTGCTCTCCTAAACTGGATCACCTGGTGCTCAGAAGGGTCCCTGTAATGCTTCCTGGGAAGAAGGAGCTCTACAGCAATCTGGGCTTTCTGCTGACTCTGTGAGATGGACAGAGCAGTGATGGTGGATAAACTCAAGGGGATGTGGAGGCAGAGAGAGTGAGACCAGCTTCTGCTGTCATGTGAAGGAGACCATCCCCATCTCTTGCTTGTCTTACCTTGGTCTCCTCCTCCCTGTGCATGGGGTATCTCAAGGACCTAAGAGATTTCCAGGGATTCCCACTGCCCTGGAACAATTCCCAAAAGGTAACTGATGACAAAAGAAAGCTCACATGGTCGTTGCATCTTGCCACCGTGGTCCAGATCCCAAAGTGCCAACCCAACTTGTTCACCTTTCAGTTTGGTGAGCCTGCCCTGCACACCACAGAGCACAGGTTCACCTTCCTGGGGCCCACACCCTATCCTGCCCGGCAATGCAACAATGATGACTTGCAGAAATAACCACCAACGTCTTTATGGAGTGGTGGACAACCTGCTCTGGAAGAGACGGTTCTTGGGCAAGTTCAGGATGCAGCATAGAAGTGCAGCATGATATGGAAGCATACCTGCTAGGCCATCCGCAGGTGGGCTAACAAAGGGGCATTGGTGCAGGAAGATTTCCCGTGGAAATCCAGCAAGCTCTGTCCTTAGACTGGGGATAGCAGGTCTTGTAACCACATTTTGCTGGGACTGTATCCTGGCAGCCTGCTCCACTCTTTGGGGCTATCGCTGCCTTTTTTCACCCCCTCTGCTTATAGCAGTCATGCAAAAGCGAGCCAAGGCATCACTTTTGCCCCCTAAAAGTAGCCCTTGAGATGGTCATGGGTCAGTCAAATGCTCCACAACCATTGATGTCCCTGTAGGCATCACCTCTTCCTGAATCTACTCTCACATCACTTGCTATTCTCATGCCCTGTTCCCGACAGCCTTGTACGGCGCAGTACTTATTTCCTAACTACAGGAGGACAGATGTCCCCCAGATTTCCTCCTCCATCACTCACAGGGTTCTCTCAGAGTACCAGGACCGAGGCATTAGTGCCTGGTGGTTTTACAGGCCACCCTGTGCCATAGCCAGAGGTCCCATCTCCGCTCAGGCACAGGACAGAGGGTCAGCTCTCCCATCAAGGGTGCGCCTGTGCTTGGACCAGCTCTTGGGAGCCATCCTGTTCAGAGGGATGTCATTCCATGTGCCTGCCTCTGCTTTGCTCCTTGGGGATGTGGTTTCTGGGCGCTGCTGTGCTGCTCAAAACGCTTTAAGATCTTTGCTCTGAGGAGCAGCAAAGCGTGCAGCTCATCTGCGAGAACACGGTTCTTCTGCGGTCCTTCTTGGTTACTGATGCAAACCCTTGCTTTCATGGCAATCCATTCCTCCTTCATTGTGTGAAGAATCTCAGTGCAAAAGACAGTGTTGGATGTGTGCTGGGTACGCTAAAATCCTCCCCACCAGGAAGGGTGGGTGGAAGATCACCATCTTGCTTCCTTCTTGCACTGTTTGCATGTGAAAATTTCGAATTTATCTTCTCCTCTTCAGACACCTTGAGTCGGCGCACATCTAGCTCTGCCAAGGTTCTGCTTACGGGCTCCTCAACCTCTTGGTCATCCCACTGAATATTCTCCAGTGTTGTTATCAATCCTCTTTCCAAACTGTTTAGGTATGTCAGGTCTCAAAGGGGACAGCTTCCCCAGCCTGTTCTGTGCCTGCAACCCAAACAGCTCCTGTTGCGGGTCATCACCATCTCTAGTTCACATCCAAAATGTCAGACTTAGCTTGATGGGGGCCTCTTTGGCCAGGGATCTGCTTCCAAACCAGCGGTACTCCCCGAGAAGAGGAGATATCTTCTCCCCTTTCCATGCTGCTCTGAGCTCATGGGTAGGGAAGAGGCCAAGATCCCACGGGGAGTGCTTAATTTTTTGGTAACGCCCTCTCTCCCAAGCGATCCCAGCTGAGACGGATTCCTCTCCAGCAGCATCCTCCCAGCCCAGCTGCAAGGGTCGGTGCCTTTGCTCTTGCAATATTGCCCTTGGCCATTAACCATCCTGAAACATTGCAGTGCAGGACAGAAGCCTGGCACATGGGGAAAAGGCGATGGCTGAGCCCAGCATCCCTGGGAGATGTATTTGAGTGGCCTCCTGGATGTGCAGAGGGAGGGAAACACAGCCCAAATATCTCAGCCTGGCAGAGGGCTCAAGGCATCATTAGGTGCCCCGTTTTTGGTAGCGTCCCTCACTGCAGCAATCCTAGGCAGGTCCTTACAGAGCAGAGGAACGCGAGGTGGGGGTCCGTCCTAGCTGCCTCCCTTGGGAAACCCAAACGAACCCCAATGTTGGAAGGCCCAAACAGCTGCCTCTGCTGAGACTCTTTAAACTCCAACCTGGTGGAACTTGCAGCCGCATGTGGGAGAGAGCCAGGGCGGGAGCATGGCATGTACAACTTTTCCTCCCGGTTTTGTTTTTTCAGCCAATTCAGCATGCCTTTTGCACTGGTGCATGGTGGGAAAGTGATCCATCCGCAGAGCCAGACGGAAGCAACTGGGCATCTTCCTTTGACAAGTGACCCTGGCCCACTGCCTTCTATGCAAGATGCTGCCTCCCAATTGCATAGACCTTATGAGCTGGGGATACACAGCCTTCCGGCTATGGGTTAGGTGGCGATGCAAAGCAATACCCAGGCCCCCCCCGGGAGGGAAGACGCTACGGAGGCCACAGAGCACTGTGGTGCAAACCACCCTTATCTGAAATAACCCATGGCTTGAGTGCCGTGTATCTGATTTATACCACTCGCACACAGCCCTGGAACCTGTGGGACAAGTTGGGGGCTGCTGGAGGGCTTTAGGAAAGGGGTTGAGACCAGAGAAGGACTCCCAGACTGCTAGCGAGGCAGGCGCTTGAGGCCAGCAGCAGAGAGGAGAGGGGTGAGTTGCTTTCTGCCAGCATTCCTGGGTCTGTGTGAGCAGTGCTATAAATCCACATCAGGACAGTCTCTCATGTATGATTTGCCTTGATTAACGGGTTTCCTGTTCTTTTCCTGTTTGTTCGTTTGTTTTTTCTCTCCTGTTTTCCTGTACTATTTTTGTTTGTACGTTTTTCCGCTCTCTGGGAATGCCTCCTCTCTCTGCATCTCCCTCCCTCCCCTTCCCCCTTCATGAGCAGTGGCCGAATCCATTACACTGAGATGTATGAAATGCTGACTCTTATGTCACCACCGCTAGGCCTCGGCAAGAGATGTCCTTCCAAAGTGGCCTATAAGGTAGATCAACCCTTCCTTCTATGGGGGCTAGAGCCGAGCAGGAGCTGCGGGAGGTGGGGCTGGGGGGAGCTGGGGAGGTGTTGGGGGAATCCAACATGTGTTTAGCTTGCTCCTGGGGAGCTTGGTGTGCTCAGAAGAGTCTTGGCCACGCTGGCTGGTCTCCACCGCCCACGGATGTGACTCTGCCGTGGTCACTCGCAAGCCCAGGGTGGAAGACCCCAGTGGAAAAGGAGAGGTAGGATCAGCAATAGTGTGGAAGCGGGGGGGTTGGAGAAGATGAGGCAAGGAGCAACCTCATAGCACAGTTAGGAGAGTGAGATGTCCTTAAGAGCTTACTGCCCCAGGCTTGTCCCCTGGGCTTGGAACCATCCTTGTCCCGACCGGTGCAGAAACAGGGCTAAAGCCCACGGAGATGGGAAGCAGGCGGGCAGTGAGGACGTAGCCTGTAGGAGCAGCTCTGCAGCACGAGGAGCCAGGTGTGTCAGCATGAGCTATCCCAAGGATGGCTTGTGCAAGGCAAAGCCAGGTGACACCTTCAAAAGGTGTCTCTGAGTTTTACCTCCTTGTTCCTCCTGGGGTGGTGGCTGACAGTTGGCTCACGGCACAGCCACAGGGCGCTCTCGGCTGCCTAGGCATGGAGAAGGAGGATGGGAAGCCCTGAAGGACGTGGGGTGGGAGCTGCGTGGCTTTGCTGAGGGCAGCAGGTGCTAGGACAAGACCCGGAGCTACAGAGCAATGCCTTGCCCAGGTCTGGGGCAAACTGAAGCTTTTCTTGGCCACAGGCTGCTGCCCGCAGCCCTTTCAGCAGCATTCAGGGCTAGCGAAGGGGGGATTTCTGTGCACTTGCAAACGGGCTGCCGTCCTCTCCAGCTCTCACGTGTTTGTTCACGCGTGCATACATCCGCTATCACACTTTTCCAGGAGAAAAAGGGAGGCATGAAGGCAGGGAAAGGACATGAGAAGCCGGGTGAAAAGGAATTGGCAGGGAAGGGATGACCCAAGGTATTCACAAAACAAAATATACTCTCTGGAAAGTGGATCTGGTCACTTCAGTTTGCACCCCGCCTGCCCAGGGTGGGGAAGGAGCATGGCGTGTCTAACCTGCCTTGGTTGCCCTTCTCTCTTTCCTTCTGCACTTTTTCTACCCCTCCTTCCCTTCCCCACCCTTGGATAATTTGGACCCTGTGCATGTGCTGGCAAACTTCATCTCTGAAAGACGCAAAAAGGGAGCGCCAGGATGTAGCATGCGAGAGGAATCCAGCCGATCTGAAGTCCCTGAAGGTTAGGGACCCTCCTCTCCCCTGCCCCAGGTGGGAAGGGTTGAGAGCCGGAAAGCCAAACCACCTGGGAACGGAAACCTGAGCCCCCTCTCCCCTTCCCGAGCATTCCCCACTCCCGCATCCCTGATGGATCAGGCGTGTCTTCCCAAAAGTGCCGGGAGGTGCTGTGGCAGCTCTGATGCCATGGGGTGGGGGGCTCAGGGGCCGTTCCCGGGGCGCAGGAGGAGCCCTGGAAGGCAGTGAGCCGGTGTCCTGGGGTGGAAGGAGCCGGGGGGGTGGCGGGGTGATCCTTGCCCTTCTTTTTTGGCTGTGCTGTTTTGACACTCTTTGTTGCTTTTTATTTTTTAATTTTTATTTTTGTTTTCCCTTTTGTTTAATGTTTAATTTCTTTTCCTCCAGCCTGGTCGATGTGTTTTTCGATATTGTTTTCCGTCCGCTGTTTTCTTCTCTCTCTTGCACAGAGACTGGTGCTGATGAACATGCCCGTGGCCGAGGACATGACAGTCCATTTTACCTCCACCTTGATGGCGCTGATACGCACGGCCTTGGACATCAAAATTGCCAAAGGTAAGGTTGGTGGGGTAGAGAGGGGACAGAGCCAGGAGGGTTTCAGGGTGACCAGCCCTCATCCTTTGGGCAGGGTGAGGACATCACAGCCAAATCGGGGTTGGTCGCCCAGAGCCTGGCATATGTAGATGGAAGTGATTGCCTTGAAAAGGCAAATTTCTGCCACTTTGTATTAAAAAAACATATTTCTTTAGGGAAGAGGTGGCCAGTTTTCTAGTTTTCTACTAGAAGCTGCTTCTAGAGAGCAGAAACAGCTTGATGTCCGCTGCGTAACAGAGGAGAGAGAGAATTCCCCTTCCTCCCCATGTACAAAACCACACCGAGGAGGGAAAAGATCATATGTGCTTGGCTTCCAAAGGCTGCGGGAAACAGAAATCTCTCTCTCAGGGAAGATAAAATGTTCAGAGTAGGAAAACTTGCTTTGTTGTTGTTGCTGGAAATGCTCCGATTCATCAGATCAAAAACTTTCTGCAGAAACCTGCCATTCTCAGTAAAACATTCCCTAGGCACAGCTCAGCTGTTGGAAGGAAACCCAACCCAGGGCAAGGTATCAGCGAAAGCCCAGTGCTCAGACAGCTCCTTGCATCTTGAAACGATGAGTTCAAGTCCCTCTTTGATTTGAACTTGGATCTCCTACAGCTCGGCTGAGTTGTCCCAGGCTCGGGTGTCTCCAGTTGGCACGTGTTGACAGCTCCCTTTGAGCCTAGGTCTTCCTAAGCTCAGCAAACCCCTCCACTGCTGGCCAGAGAGCTCTGCTCTCCTTGCACAGCATCGCCGAGTATTTAAGGATTTCAACCAAGTGGAGCTGCTCTTTCCCAAGCACATGATCCGCTCACCAGAAAAGAGAAAGTGGGGCAGCAGCAGGTGTGTGTGGGCTGGAGTAGGATTGGAGCCGCAGAGACGGACCCAAGGCGAGCTTGAAGATGGCAGCTTTGAGTGGGAGGGCAGGGGATGGGGAGATGGAGGCACATATGGAAGGGATGGTAGGAAAGTTTCCCTGTGAGAGCAGGAGATCAAGCTCACTGATGCAAGATGGCCCTCCCAGCCCAGAGAGAACTGGTTGCTGCTTGTGAACCTCACTTCAGGATGGGAAAAGGGGGGGTTTAGTTGGACCCTGATGCCAGGTCTTGATGTACATGGGCCATTTTTTCCCCCCCCGGTGTTCAAGGTGGTGCAGATTGGCAGCAGTTAGACTCCGAGCTTCAAAAGGAGATCCTGACCATTTGGCCTCACCTGTCCCAGAAGATGCTTGACCTGTTGGTACCCATGCCAAAAAGTGAGTCTCTGGGGTGACTGTCATCGCTGCCAAGTTCCCATCATATCTACAGGAACTTCTTCCCAAAGGGAGGTGGGAACTGGCCGGACCCATCCCCAGCTGGGGGAGAAGTGGGAATAGGGTTTGTGGTGCTACAGGCTGGCTGCTGCCTTGCTCTGCCTGGCTGCTTGGGAACCCTCTTGAAAAATGCCCTGTTTGCAGGGATCTACTCCTGTCAAACCCAGAGGCTCCAGTAAATCATCTCTGGAGCATATGAGGGCAGGAGGCTGAGCATCACTTGCTTTGTTACATCTGGTGATGTGATGAGGATATGCGTCTTGGTGGTTTATGATGATGCTTTCAAGCCATCTCCGTCCACTTTATCTCCACATGGAGTGTCTGGGTGTTCAGTTTGCTCTATTTCAGAGCAGTGAGCAGAGTTTGAGGGTCACCAGAGTGTCCCCCAGCAGGGCTTTTCCTGAGATCCACGCTGGTGCCTTCACACCTGCTGTTTCTGTTAAGACACGAGTGTCCCCGCTTTGTTCCCTCTTCTGCTCTCAGCTTCTGACCTGACTGTTGGCAAAATATATGCAGCCATGATGATCATGGATTACTACAAGCAGAGCAAAGCGAAGAAGCAGCGGCAGCAGATGGAGGAGCAGGTGAGGCTCAGCGAGGGCATGTGGTGGGTAGGACGGGGATGTTCAGAGCACCCTCGCTGCTTCCTACCATGTGCCAACCAAACGTGCAGCCAGCTGCATGGGATGCAGCTGAGGGATGAAGATAGTGGTACAGGGTAGGGTTTGGTGACCGTAAGGCATAGGTATGTGCATCCTCGACAGGGAACATGAGCACGCCGTCGCCTTCCTAAGCGATGGGGGCTTGGTTGATGAAGCACTGGATGTTCATCTGCATTTCCTACAGGCTCAGTTTCTTCCTTTCTTCAATACAGAAAAATGCCCCCATGTTCCAGCGCATGGAGCCATCCTCCTTGCCGCAGGAAATCATCTCCAACGCAAAGGCTCTGCCTTACCTCCAGCAAGACACCCTCTCGGGCCTGTGAGTATTGCCCTGAGAAGAAGGGAGGTACTCCTGTCGCTTTTCTGTTCCTGCAGCCCTCGTTTTGTTCTCTGGTGCTGGCACTGGGATGCACAGAGGGTTAAAGAGCTGCCCAGAGCAGGGAAAACCCAGTCCAGGGCAGAAAGCTCCTGGCACAAAGCTTTTGCAGGATTCGAGGTAGCTGGTGTGCATCAGCATCACCAGCAGCAGCAGAGGTGGCTAAGGGGAATGGCCAGGTGTCTGCGTGGATGTTCTTCTCACAGGACCACCCCAGCACTAAGTGCAAGCTCTCTTACCTAGGAGAGTCTGGGATGGACCTGAACCTCGAGAGCAGTTGAGCAGTGGGTCCCTGGGTGGTGCAGGGTCGGCAAGGGATGCCAGCACCCTGGCTGGTGGGAATGAGATGGTGGGAGTTACTGGCACTGTGCTTGGGATGTCCCCGCTGCTGCTGTGGGACGTGGGGCACTGGTGTCCTCTCCTGCCTGAGCACCACTTCAGCTCACCAAGGAACATGATGTTTGTTCTGGGGTGTCTTGACAGCCTGGGGGGCAAGCACAGGGGCTCCCCGGCTCTGAGCCGCTGGCAAGGCGATGGCCAGCAATGGCAGCACCTGGCTTGTGGTCTCCCTGAGGCTGGACTGTCTTTGCAGGAGCAGCCGAAGTGGGTTCCCCTCGCTGAGCCCGCTCTCGCCACAGGAGATCTTCCAGCTGGCATGCATGGATCCGGCCCACGGGCAGTTCCAGGAGCACCAGTCTCTGGTAAAGTCACGCATTGCCCGGCAGGCACTTGCCCGCAGTCCCGCTGAGGATGCTGGTGGGCACGGGGAGGTGTGGGGCTGCTGGCACAGTGGTGAAATGCTGCTCCCTGCCCCTGTGGCAGCGAGCATAGCAGAGGGACGGCAATTCCTGGGTTTTGGATTGAACATGGATCTGAAGCAGGGGATGAACATCCCCAGGTGTCCCTCAGTTGGGGCTCTGGCCCCTTGCCTCTGTCCAGGCACTGGGGACGCAACCATCCCTGGACCAGCCCTGGCCGGTGGGGCCAGGCAGTGGCAAGTGCTTTTGGGGCGAGAGCTGTGACCGGGGTCTGATGTCCTGCAGTAAAATATCCTTCTTTTCACAGGCTGCTCTTTTTTTCCACTGAGCGCTCATTTCAGTGGGTTACCCCATGCTGAGTGATGGTATCTGATGTTTTCGGATTCATGTTCATTTTGTTGTCAGTGCTGGTGTCCCTGATCCCAAACTGAGCTGTCAAACTGTCTCCAACGGGAGCACACCCCTCCGGCCTCACACACATGCCGGCCAGCAGTAGTAGTGTCTGTTTGTGTGTGTGTGTGTATATATATATATATACATATCTATATATATCTCTCCGTGTCTGTGTGTGTGCATTCGTGCACCACCCCGACGCTTGTCGGATGCAGTGTTGTACCACTGTGCATCTCCAGCCCGGTCCGTGTCCCCGGGGTCTGTAGCACTCTGTGTGAGCTGTGTACCGCGCAGGCGGGTGTCCCCTACCCCAGCCACCCCGACCATGCCACCGTCCTGCCGGCAAGGAGGTGGAAAATGAGACTTCTCCTTCCCCATAAAGTCACCTTCTAGCAAATCTCCAAGGTTAGTCCCTGCCCATCTTCTTGACATCATGTCCTGTGCAAAAGAGTCCCCTAAATTGGGAATTAAACAAAGCACAAAGGTGCCACTGGTGGTATGCTTTCTTTTAATGGGGATGTGGCCAGAAAGCCTTTTAAGCAGAGTCAGAGAGAAAATCCCATATGTTTGTCCTCGTCTGGCAAAAGGAGAAGGAATTAAAGCCCAGGCAGTCAGGGCATCACCAGATCCGAGGAAGGTTTCCACTGCCACTGAAGAGGTGCAAGATGAATTGGCCATCAGGCAAGCCTGAAGCACCGTATCTGGGCTTACCTGCAATGAATTGTGACTTGGAGATTATTTTTCAGTGGCGACATGACAGATGATATGTCTTTGAGTCCCTTTTTGACCCACTTAAGTTCTGTCCTCGGTTGAGCGAGCAGGGCTGTTCCCTGCAAAGGGGGCAGAAGCAGCGCGCTGCCCTGCTCCAACCCCATCCCAAGAGCTTGGCTGTGTGTTTATTTCCAGGAGCCAGAGGTTAGGGAGTTTCAAAGAGTGCAGCCCTCTAACCGTGGCAGCTACCTTCCCGTGGACACTCAGGACCACGCTGTCTCTGGGAGGGCCTCCTCCATGCCTCGTCTCACTGTGGATCCCCAGGTAAAACCAAGCAAAGCCCCCACGGGTGCCGGGTCCAAGCAAAACCTACCAGGTAACAGTGGGGCTTCTCTCCACACTGAGCAAGTCCCGTGAGTCCCATGGCTTCCCCAGCACCCCCATATTGGAGCATCTCCCCATCTTTGGGGTGCTGCACAAGTGGGAGAGCTGCTGTTCCCCTACATGGGGGACACCGGCAGCAGAGAGCAGCCAGGGGAATCGATCTCCTGGCTCACGTGAGAGGTCAACGGTGGATAGGGCCACACTGGGAGGTTTCAGGGTCGCCCTGCAGTGGGACACCCCTCCTTTCCTCCAATCCTGGGCACTGGTTGAGGTTCCAGGAGTCCCATCCTGGCTGTCAGATGATCTCCCAGGTGATGAAACGCCTTTTCCTTCCTTTCTCCTTGTCCCAAAGCACACGCTTCTCTGTCTGTCCAGGGGAACCCAGGCCATATCTCACCTCCTCGTTTGTCTGCCCAGTTTCTCTGTTGTTCTGTCTTGTACTCAACCTCCACCGAGACACAGATGCTTTTATGGGGTTCGGTTTTGCTGTGAAGTCTTTGGGTTTGCTTTCTCACAGAGGTGGTGGTGCAAGCACCAGGTCCTGGTGTTACTGCTGGTGTGACACGTCATGGCACTTTGGGGGGGCGTGAAGAGGAAGGGAGGCTTTGCCTCATGGGCTTTGTTGACCATTCGGCAGCGGGGGGGATGATCAGAAGGAGAGGATGGGAGCAAGAAAGGGTATGGTGCAAGAGGAGGAGACAGGGAGAATGGCCTGAGGCTGCAGAGGCAAAGAGCTGCTAGAACAAAGCAAAGGAAAATGTAGAAGGAGGTGCTGTTTTCCACAGAACATGTGAGAATACAAGCTAGAAGGAGGGGAGAAGGTAGAAAGGAGAAGCATGGGAGAGAGAAAGAAAAGGAGAGGGAAGATAAAACAAGAGCGCAAGAGGGGAGAGAGGGAATGAGTGCAGAGGAGAGGGATGGGGATGCAGGATTAAAGGAGGACCAGGGAGGGGTCTGGAAAAGTGGCAGCAGCTAGGAAAATAAGCATGGAGGAAGGGGCACTGGAGGATCTCCTCTCTGTCAATGATTTCTTCTTCGATGTCTCCGTTTGCTCTGCTTGCCCCTGTTTTCAAGGCGGGGAGGGATGCTGAGACAGCCTGGGAGGGCAATGGGCCTGGTACCCTCCATGACCTCACACCCGGGGCGGGATGCTGCTGCTCTTCCCCCAACACGCAGTGCCTTGGCTTGAATCACGGTCGCTGGCTTTGCTTGCGGAGCATGGTTCCCAGCTGGCTGGGGAAGGGGAGCCCACAAGCACGAAGGCTAAACCTCACTTTCCTCCTGCCCCCGATTTGTGCAGAGTTAATACTGAGGGGCCGTGCTCAGGCTGGCTGTTCCCCTACTCCAAATCTCCACATCCCGGAGGCTGGTGTGCCAGTGATGGCTGATGAACCGGTGATCACTTGACCACCGTCCCCACCAGCCCTACCTGGTGCTAACCCCCTCCCTGGCCACCCGGGGTTGCTTGCAGGTGGTGACAGACACCAGCTCGATGCGGCGATCGTTTTCCACCATCCGGGACAAGCGCACCAACAGCTCCTGGCTGGATGAGTTCTCCATGGAGCGCAGCAGCGACAACACCTACAAGTCCCGCCGGCGCAGCTACCACTCCTCGCTCCAGCTCTCCGCCCGACGCCTCAACGCTGACTCGGGTGAGCAAGGGCGAGTGGCCCCATCTCACACCAATGCCAACCCCCCCCCCCCAACCCAAGCACCCCCCGCTCCTGGGGAGGGGATGGTGGGGACTGAGAGTGATGTCCTGCAGGTCACCGGTCCGACGGGCATCGCTCAGGCGGCAGGGAGCGGGGCCGATCCAAAGAGCGCAAGCACTTGCTGTCCCCCGATATCTCCCGCTGTAACTCTGAGGAGAGGAGTCCCCAGGCACACGACGAGTCGCCAGAGCGGCGACGCGAGTCCCGGTCACCCAGCGAGGGCAGGTCGCAGACACCCAACAGGCAGGTGGGTGACAAAAACCCCTTCCTAAGCACAAAGGGAGGCGTAGAAAAAGCTCCTTGCCAAAACGGGGAAGATAAGCGCCCTAACTTCAGGAGCTCTGCGCTGTCTCTCTTCCCTACGGTGGCATCTCCATCTCCTCTGTGAGCTGAGCAGGTTGGGGCTGCTCAGGCACCCTGCAGAGCATTTGGGGAGAGGGGTGGATCTCCAAACTGATCCTCTCACTGCTGTAGCATCCGCTCCCTGCCAAGGTGGAGGCGTCCTAGCTACGCA